GAAACTTAATTTACATGCAGCTTAAGACAACAACAAGAACGAGAACGCCGCGGTCATCCCGATTAACCGGTAGAGTGCTTCTACTTATTATCGATAACCAGTGAAAACGACGGCGAGGTACTCGAACCTCTCCACATAATCCACTGTTCTCCGCATGTCCGAAGACAGCAACAGGCAGGAGAACGAGAAAGCACTAGGCTTTTCGTTTTAGATGCGTTCACACGCATGCCGGTCAAGTTGTACTGGGCTGCGAACCTTTCAAGGGATCAGCTTCAGAAGATGGCAACAAAATTAGGTCGTCTGCAAACAGCTACCTTCTCGTCTCGACATTTGCTACACCGATGCATCGCCTTGGCTGGTCTGACTAATCTGAGGGATTTATACACTCACAAACATACGTATACAGTTAAATAGTCAGAGTACAGAGCTATAAAGAAATCCGTTACTGCGCGAATTTCGGGAGGGAAAGAGAGGGAGAAACACACTGGCGTTATAGACAATCCCCCCCGCGCATCACCGATGTTTCGGAAGACGTGTTGCCGTAAATGAAACGCCGTTAAAGTCGATGCTTTAAAAAAAAGTTTATAGCAGGATTCTATAACACGGATATCGTATTCTGATCTCTACGCACACTACTCCACTATAGTTACATGCTGTAGCGTTCTCAAGCTCACAAACTCTTTCATTCCGCTGAATGATTCATACCACTTGAGACGTTGAGACAATACGCAACATATGGAAGATCGATATCTCTCACACAACCAACTAAGAGAAACGGTATCGGGTAACACAGCTTGACTCTCAGGGCACGGCCGTTTAGAACAGCGCTGATCTACGGACACCGCGGTAAAATCAGTAGCAAAATCGTTTATGACGACAGTAAGTGGATTAAATTCTTTCGGGGGAGGGAGGAGGATTGTGGGGCTTGGCTAGAACTGCAGTCAGTATATCTGAATCTGCAGCTTCGTAAGGCACGCGATCACGAAGCGTTATTTAATTAGCTGTTTTATCGATTAAATCGCTTAGTCTGTCTTCATTCTTGCGCTCTCGTCCTACTATTGTGCATGTTTATTTGTTTTTGTTACGTATTATGCACATATTGCACCACCCATCTGATTGCTGAACTGTCAGTCCGTGCCCCGGTTTCACATGATAATGCCGCCAATTTAAGCGGTAAACTAGATGCTGATCACCTTCTGAACCTCGGACAATATCCACAGTGACTTCTGGACACAAAGTATCCGTGTGTAACATTGAAAAACGAACCACCAGACATTTTACCACGGATTCGCATTCGACGCAGACGTTTCGACCGATGGTTCGACGCTCCAACGGATGAGTTACCGTGGCTTGTCGATAGAATTAAGAAATCTATTTTTTTTCGGTCGTGATCAATTATGTTTCGTTCTGTCGTCGCGTTTCAAGTTCGTCCGTTTGGCTGCCTGCAGGTCATGACAGCTGAACCGTTAGAGCGACCGATCATGTATCAAAACACAGCTGGCTCGAGTTCTAATCTACGGTAGATGACTGAGGTTTCATCCATCCATGGCGGATGGACAGGTACGATACGCTAAAATTACTAAGATCACACGTCATCACACTGGCCACCCGGTTGACGATGACAGAATAAGGCCTCATCGCCGCGAGGTGGAAAAGAAAATCAGCGCTGCAAGGCCCGGTACAACCGCTGTTCATTTTGGAGGTGTACGGTAAAAGGGGAACGAAAAGCCTGAAGGAGTGAGGGAATTGTGAGGGATACGAATGCGGCATACTTCGCGACGGCGAGTTCGGTCCAGAGCTAACGAGGTTCGCTTGCGCAGACGTGCCGGCTCGGCTGTCAACCGTCAAACGGATGAGCGAATGCGAGACAGACGCCAAGCGAACCGTACTACACATCGAACGCCTCCTCAAAAGTCAGTACGATCCTCAGCGACGTAAAAAATTCGACAAAAAGGTTGCTCGGAGAGGTGGCCGAATCGGCTGAGGTGGCAGCAGCTGCCTGGACTTATTGTTCACTCGCTCTTGAGTCCGGCACGGCGGAAAAAACTCTTCTGTTCGCTCTTAAAATACCGGCCCAAAACGCACTTCGAGCGCAGGTCAACTTCAACTCCAATGGCCGACCTTGGCGGTCACCAACTGCCTCAGCCAGCCGGCGACGAAGCTTCGAGAACGAAAAACCGACTAGCGGGCGGTTTTTGCCGCCGCCGCCTTTAAAAATAAGAACAAAACACACCGACAAACAAACAGACAGACAAATAAAATGCGACGTCACCGACGTCCGAGCGGTCAACGGAACAGGGCGAAGTTCTTCGCCGGCTACGCCGATGCTTGTTTCGGCTTCGATCGTCTGGTCGCCGCCGCCGCCAATCATGAAACGTCATAAATGCAACACAATATGGCTGAGGAGTGGAACGGTTGAGGCGAGGTACTTTTTCACTGAACTCCACCCGTTAGACTCTGACTTATTAGGCAGAGAAGGCAATTACGATTTGTGCAAAAACTGTCACAAACGACCGCTGCGGGCTGACAGACATTAACGCAAAGTCGACAGGTAACTTTACAGCCGTCAAGACCGGTGACACTGGTGACGTTTCGTCGTACAAAAGCCGATAAACCTCAAAATGTGCCGCAAATTACTCACCAGTACCTCGCCAGTGTTTGTGCCGGTTCAGGGCTAATGCACAAGAAAGCTACCGGGTCGGAAAAGCTGTCCAAATGCAAAGTCGCGATGACACACATTTCATTCGCTGTAACTCAGGGTACGAGTGAAGCGGCGTTGATCATATACGGAAACGGCCAAATGGATGAGTTCACTGAGGCCATATTTTGAAACCAGACACAACCACGAAACGTAATGGACGCAAATTGGTTCCGTAGCAGACGAAACGCACGGCTGTACGCAAAACAGGTCGAGAGGAATCAACAGGTTACAGGTTACACCGGAAAAGTGACTTACAGTGCGCAATGGTTCGCAGTCGATCGACATACCGAAAACAACTGTCACGAGAAATCAATGCACTGCGTATCGGTGCCACAGACCAAAATCAGTGTGAACACAGTCATCCAGCGTCTGGTGGTGTCATCACATCAACACAGCGAAGTTTTGCGCGAGATTCGAAAGGTGGCTTTCGGCGTAATCCGGTGCAGTTATCCCACGTTTTACGCATCACTGCTTCATTCGATGCGCTAAACACAATCAAAGCAATCGGCAGCATGCTAAATGTGTGGCACCCATTTACTGATCGAGAACCACTGACCAAAAATTGTCCCGTACTGCGGCTGGCCTCATAAATACACCATAACGGTTTCGACAATGACAGGCACGAACAGCGCCGCATCAACGACCCAAAGAAGCTGCAGAACATCTTCACCAAAAAAGCGACAAACGCGATGCCGACAAAAATTGGTCTTTGCATGGCAACGCGCCACTATCCGCATGATCGCTTATATTTTAATCTCGAAAATTAATATGCGGCCAGAACTACGGAATAAAGTTTGTTCGACGTGACACAGATGACAGAAAGCGATGACAGTGTTCAAAATTACAGCTGAGTTGCAGTAGGTCACCACTTAGTGTTTTGGCTCCATTCAGAACGAAAGATCGGCTGCAATATAACGACTAATCAACCAACCAACCAACAGAAAAATCTTGCATCATTAAATCTCCAAAGTATGTCACGGATTCCACCATATACCGAGAAATGGACCATTGGCCAGGTAAACTGTAACGGTTGTCAGAAGGTCTGTGTTGTAATCACGAAGAGAAACGCATGCCACAAATTACTTCAAGGAACATGCAGCACAGCTTTCGCGAATGGCCCAGCAAAACATCTGCCAACTGCAAAACGCGGTATAAAGAATCTCCCCATGAATGTCAGTGAAAAACTCAAGGTCTTAGACTGGAACAGCATCGCTGTCTTGCTAAACTAATGCGCTACTGTGAAAAACTCTCCTTGCGGAGTCTTTCGATAACGAAATAAGTCTTAAAATCTTTCGCCCAGCTGGAATATCGTTTTAAAAACCTTGATTAAGTCTATCGCACACCTTTTCCAACCCTTTCTTGTTAGCTTCTATATTTTTTCCATTCAACTTTATCATCCATCATTTAACCATTTCTGTTTTGCTTGTTTCGGCTTCAAACGTTACTTCGACAGTATCACAGTCCTGACGATGAAGATACGGTACGGCTTACTG